TCCTACTCCATAGCAGCTTTTCATTTTCAGGAAAACAAACTCATTCTGAAAATAGCCAGATACTCCTAACATGAATTGTATTTCCAGTGGGCAGAACCTAGTTTGGCACAGTGACATTGGGGCCACCCAAACTGGGTCTGGTTTTGTTGTTGTAGCTGGCCACGGTGGCGATGGTGATGTGTTTGCATTTAGTTTTCTTCTTTGCATTCTTCAGGGCCCCCTCTGATGAGGATGGACGGACATTATTAGGACAACATGGGCCTGCTGGGCTCCATGGGCTAGTATGCTAAAAATAGCTGGAGAGGTTTAAAAACTGTGGCAGCAGATTTAGGGGCTCGTCTGGAAAACGAAGCAGAAGCTGGGTCCTGGGTGGTTCTATTTAAAGACAGGCAGCATTGAATCTGCTCCTGCGGAATTACGCGTGAGGACTTTGTTCCCAGCCGGCTGAGCCGTGGGGTCTGAGCAGCATGAGGACCTCATCCTCTGCAAAGCCGCTGCTGTCCAGCGGGTGCAGAGCGCCGGGCCTGTGTTACATGGCTCCCAACTGTCCCTTTGACTAGAGGAAGAGGGAAAAAAAAAAAAAAAAAAAAAAAAAAAGGCCACTTTACAGATTTCATCTTCGGCGAGGAGTAAAATCAATGAAGCTACAGAAAATTATGCGAGGGAGACCAGTGGGTATGGGAGGGGAGGAGACTCAGAGCGCTTTGTTCGAAACAGGGGCTTTACAAGCCTTTTCAAAACACATCTGGCCCGCATCTTCATACACCAGTGGACAAAGCCATTAAACATCTCTGTTCACATGCTGTAATAAAGAGAGTCACGTGTCTTTCCATGGCTGTCTCACCGGGTTCTGAAACTCTTCAGAAAGAGTGGAGATTGAATTTACAAAACAGGTGTTTGCTCCCCTGTACAACAACCCGATCCGGCATCTTAGAGAGAAAGAGTGGGGGCAGCTGTGTGCTGTCACCCTCCCCATAGTTCGCTAGCCTCCGTTGCTCACTGACCCTAATGAGCAGGAGTGTGGGGGTGGGGACTGTAGCAGAGCTTCGAGTGTGGGATGATGTCTTACAGTCTTCTAGAGGTGCTACCTTAGAGGTGACTCTGCTCCTCAGGCTCACGGTGTTAGGTAGGAATTTTAGACTAGGTCTCACGTAGGCTGGCCTCAAATTGGGGACGTATCTGGGGGTGACCTAGAATTTCTAATCCTCCTGTCTCTACCTCCTGAGTTCTGAGATTACAAGCAACCACTGTTTATGTAGTGCAGGAGATTGAACCCAGAGTCTTGTGCATACTAGGCAAGCACCTAACAACTGAACTGCATCACCAGCTTCGGCTGGGAACTTTTTAAAATGCATGTGTGGTGTACATGTGTATATATGTGTTTGCACGTGTGTGCGTGTATGTGTGTGTATGTAAGCACATGTACATGTAGAGGCCTGAAGTTGTTACTTTGCGTTTTCTGATGACACTCTCCATTTCATGTTTTAATTAGTTCAATTATTTTATATATTCTTCAATTTGTTTATTGGGTGTGTTTTTTCTGACAAAGGCACATGTGGGTGCATGATGTATGCATGTAGAAGTCAGCAGACAATTTTAGGGAGTCAGTTCCCTCCTTCTGCCATGTGGGTTTTGGGGATCGAGCTCAGGTCGGCAGGCTTGGTGGAAAGTGCCGTCACCCCTGGTCCTCTAGTTTTGAGGCAGGATCTCTCACTGAACCCAGAGCTCATCCCGCTTGCCACATCCCACTCCTGCCTCCCAGATGCTAGGATTGCAGGCAACAGCCATACACGCCTGGCTTTTGTGGATTCTGAGGATCTGTACTGTGGTCACCATGCTTGTACCGCAAGCACTTTGTTTACTTGAGCCACCTTTCCAGCCCTGGTTGGGATGTTTAATTATAAGAAACAGAAGTGAACCCGGCATAGCCTCAGGGAGAAAGAGAGGGTTCATGTAACTGGGAAACTGGGGGGATGAATCTGGAAGGCTCAGTTGATGCCAAGATTCAAACAGTGCCATCCTCCTTTCCCAAGGGTCTTCTGAGAGCAACAGGTTGCTCAGTCCCAATAGCTCCAGCAATGATCCTGCAGCTTATTCCCATGGAGTCAGGTATCCATCCTTAAACCGAGGACGGGCGGAGGTCACTGGTCCCTTCCTGGGGGTGCTGATAGGAGTAGGGATGCACAAACAACAGGATTGAGAATGGGGAGCAGTTGGCTCTGCTAGAGACAGTTGGGGTTAGCCCCGGCAATCGACCACAAGCTGCCAGGCACTTCTGTAGAAGGCCGCCGGTGCCTGTCCTAGCCGGCTTCTAAGGGGCTTAGGCCCAAGGTGTGAGCACATCACCAGCATGAGCGCACGTCTTTGAGGAAACAAATGTCTGGAGCATCTGGATCTAACAAAAGACTGAGATCTGCTGATACCATGTCTCGGGGGCAGGGATGAGGTAGAAGAAGAATTGTACTTATTCACACAGCAGGGGAGACTGGAAGAAAAGGAGGTACCCCCAAATCACAGTCCTTTTTTTTTTTTTGCCTACTACTCTATGAGGATCTACGGTGGACGGTGGAAGCCTGTGAGTAGTTCTGCAGGCCGGTGGGGGGCGCTGACAGACGGTAACGGTAACGGAACTACTTGCGGTGGTCGGGAATCGAACTCAGGTCCTCGGGCAGCACAGTCCTCTTTTTAATCTGGCTCTGCGTAGAAGGGAAGAGTCCTTAGGTAGGTCCCTTTGCTCTTATACAGAGAAAGTTGGCCTCTCCTCCCCAACTTCCCCCACCAAACTACTAGAGTGGGCATGCCCAGACGGTACTAGAGTGAGCATGCCCAGACAGTAGTAGAGTGAGCATGCCCAGACAGTACTAGAGTGAGCATGTACAGATGGTAAGGCCCAGAGGACTAATCAGAGAGGCCGGTGGACCCTTCCATCCCTGCTCCCTTTGCACTTAGCATCTCACACCCAAGTTTGCACAAACTTGAAGTTAGGAAACAGCTTGGCCCCAAGTCATAATTTAAGCATGCCCGGCTAGAAACCGCGGGGCGAATATGCAGGGCAGTCTGGGATCGTTGTTGAAGATGTCTGCTGGCTTTGCTCACTTTCCACTGCTGGGGCAGTGTGTCGTATTGCCACACTGAGCGGGGATGTTGAGCTGAGAAGCCAGTGACTGACACCAACTTTTAGCTGGGCTGACCCAGCAGTGTGTCTTGTAAGTGGAGCTGTGTCTTTCCAGAGCAGAGCAGGCCAAAGGAGCCATTCTCTTGCCAAGCAGTAGGCAGGCCACGCTTCATCCGCTTGGAGTAGCCCCATTTCCAACTCACAAGGGGTCTCCTTGGAGGTAGCTATGGCATCCAGTATCTCCTGTAGTTATATTTGGTTTGAACGTCATCCTGCCACAAATTAGAATCACCTGAGAAGGGACTATCATTCGAAGCAATGTCCTGATTGCCTTGATTGATGGGAAAGCCCACTCTGATTGTAGGTAGCACCTTTTGATAGCAGCCCAGATAAAATGGCTCTGTCAGAGGGAAGTTTATCTCCCCTTTTCCTGGTCTCCCCTCCTGCTGCTGATTCTTTTGACAGTGGAACCAGTAATTCCCAGTATTTCCAAGCTTTCATTGTGGAATAGGGGCCAGTGACTCTCCAGGAACTTTCTGGGCTCCCGGTACCAGACTGGCACTGCTGAGGTACCCTGCTTTGTGGACTGAGTGAGTGACTACCGGTTGTGGTGCTCCAGTAAGAGACAGCTATTCTGGGATCACTCTGGCTGGTGTGTGTGTGTGTGTGTGTGTGTGTGTGCGCGTGTGTGCACATGCGTTTCATTCTCTTGGTTCTGTTCCTTTAGAGCAATGGTTCTCAACTTTCCTAAAGTTGCAACACTTTAATACAGTTCTTCATGTTGGGGTGACCCACCCCCACCCATAACAATATTTTTGTTGCTACTTCATAACTAATTTTGCTCTGAGCGGTGTCTCAGTTCCTACAACCACCGGAAGTATGTGTTTTTCGATGGTTGTGACCTACAGGTTGAGAAGGGCTGCTCTAGAGAATCCTGACTAAAACAGCCCCTTTCTTCTGAAACTGAGGGATCTAGGGGACAGACTGGCTGAACTCCTCACCACCCTCCACGGGGTCATTTAGCACCCGGTTTGGTATTTTTAAACAGTAAGCGCTAGAACCTCACGGCTAATCCTGATTCCTCTGTTACTTGCTAGAAAGCAAACTTCCAATTAAGGGCCTGCTTGGTGCCACCAGACCTGGGTCTGGAACAGTGAGAGTCACGTGACCTTAGCAGAGCTAAGCTGAGCTGTGTGGAACTACTCCAGTCTGCCAGTCTGCTTTGCTGTTCTATTCTATGCTTTTTTTTTTTTTTTTTTTTTTTGACAGGTCTCACTCTCCAGGGCAGGCTGCATTGTCACTTTGCGGTCTCACCAGTGTTGAGATGTCAGGCATGACCACCACAGCTGCTGATCTGTTTCTGCCGTAGCTGAGTGGGGTTAAGCACTGCCTGTGAGTGCCACTGGGTGCCAGTAGTGGAATATATTGGGGTCTAAGTATTTTGGCCTCGAAGTACATGCACACATGCACAGAGGGGGAGAGAAAGAGAGAGAGAGAGAGAGAGAGAGCCTTTTTATTTTTCCCCTCTTCTTTTTTTAGACAATCGTATAGCCTACAGGCTGGCCTCAGGCTCCCTATACAGTCAATGAAAACCCTGAACTTCTAATTTTTCTGCTTTCTGGGGGTTAAAAACGTGTTTTCCTACACCAAGTTTATGCAGTGCTGGGAATCAAACCTGGGATATTGTGCATGCTAGGCAAGCCCTTTGCCAACTAAGCTACATCCCAGCCCTATGATGTTTCTTTTAACTAGTTTCTTCTCTACTGTCTCATGGCTTTCTCAGTTGAAGCCCAAATGAAAAGCATGGCACTAAGGATGCCTGGAACATCACACACCATTCAGTACTATGTAGTGAGCTTGCTTCCAAAGAACAAAAACAACAACAACAAAAAATAGATTATAATTTAGCTACGGGCTAATCCCAAGGACAAAGAGTGTAAAGCATTTTATTATCTTTCCTGTTGAAATTGTATAGTGCCCATTAGGCACACTGGTATATGCCTGCAGATCCCAGCTACTTAGGACATTGAGGAAGAAGGATCACAAGTTCAAAGCCAGCCTGGAATCTACTGTGAAATCCAATTCCATGGCCAACGAACAATAGTATGGTGTCCTTCACTTCATTGTGGACGTTTTCCCCCCTCAGTTTTGACTTTCATTTCATGTACAAAAAAAGTCATTCCTCCCCCCAAAATGCTTGAGGCTCTTATCAAGTTTTTGTGGTTGTTTCTGGTTCCTGTGTGTTCACACAGTCTCTTTCTTATCTGTTTTCAGTGGGTGGCCTCTGTCTAATCTTACTCCAAGCTGGATATTGCTTCCCTGGGCGTCACTGTGCCCTTTTACAAGGTTTGAACGTCACCTTCTGATCCCATTTGCATTGAGTCTGAATTGTAATTTTGGATGTGTCTAGAAACCACGCAAGTGTCAGTGTGCTGGGTAGAGATGTCTGGGCAAGCAGGATGCAGAGGTGGTACAAGCCTGTGTTGTGGTCTTCTGACAAATGTTTTCTTTCTTTTTTTTTTATTTATTTTGATTCTCAAGTCAAGGTTTCTCTGCATGGCCCTGATTGTTCTTAACTTGCTCTGTAGACCAGGCTGGCCTTGGATGCAGAGATCAGCCTGCCTTTGCCTTCCAAGTGCTGGGATTAAAGATGTGCGCCGCTACCAGACAGCTGTGAAAATGCTTCCTCGCTATGAACGCCGTTGCTACGTGATCGAGTCACCTATAGGCATGTGAGTACAAATACTTAGATAACTACTGTCCCCTACATAAGAAAGCAGCCCAAGGTTTGAGTAAACATAAATTTCTGTGACCAGAAATGTCACTGAGCCCCCACCCACCTTTGCTTTTTGAGATCAGGTTTTGCTATGTAGCTTGAGATTAAACCCCCCAATTTACAGCAATCCTCCTGCCTCATCTTCTGGGGATTAGAGATGTGTACCACCATGCTCTGCTTGAAAAAAATCTTTAAATAGGCAATTGTGGGAGGATGGAGATGTCAATGAGAGCAGGAAAGTACTGGTCATTATAGATTATTCATAGCACAATGGGGAAAACAGTGCATTAGTCAGGGTTCTCTAGAGGAACAGAACTGGAAGAATGAATATATATGTGTGGGTATACATACATTATATCACACACACACACACACATATATATATTACACACACACACATATATTACTCACACACACATATGAAGATTTATTATGTTGGCTTACGTGATAGACAGTCTGGGTATTAAAACTATATATTTTCATGCTGGAGAGGCTGAGAACTGGTGGTTGCTCGCTGAGTACCTCAGCAGTCCTACCCTGGTGCTGAAGGCCTGACAGATTCTTAGAGAGCCACCGGTGTTCAGTTCACATGGGAAGCCCAAAGAAACTAGGTTCTAATGTGAACGACGGAGCGTCATAGCCACAGGAGTGGCATCAGCAGCAACACGGCTGTGCTCACCAACAGGTAGATGAGCAAGGGGCTCAGGCAAGCAGGCAAAAAGCAAAGCTTTCCCTTGTAATAAATATATGTGCGTGTGAACACACACGGCGTCTATAGCCACAGGCCACAACAGGAAGGTATGGTCACATTCAGGTGGCTCTTCGTACTTCAATAAACCTGGTCAAGAAAATCCTCACGAGTGTGCCCAGAACCTCATCTTTTAGCTGATTCAGCCAAATTGACAACCAAGATTAACCTTCACAGATGGGAGACTCCTGGTCCATTCTAACTAAAAGGAATGAGAAATCGGACATTTCCAGGGGCTCTGAGGCTTTTCCAAATTCTTATAAATTGAAAGAGTCATTGAGGAAGAGCCAGGCTGACATCCGGGGGTTGGGGGACAGAATGATCAACTGTACCCACCCAAGATGCTGCAGTGAACAGAACCCAGCCCTGCACCTGCGCTATTCCTGCCTGAATCCCATCGGGGGAAACTGAGTCACACCATGATGGAGTGGCTCCATTTCTGTAGTCTTAAAAAGCATCAAGGATGTAAAAATCCAGGTGAAAGAATGAAGGGCTGTTCCAGACTAAAGAAGCGCCAAGAGAAGACAAATGAGCGGTGTAACACCCAATTCTGCATTACCCTCTCGGCACATTTCGCACACCTCTGTACCGATCGCGAATTGGGCAAAGGCCTGGAGATTGAAAGAAACAAAGAGACCTGGGTCATTCGAAAGGAGATCAGCTGAATGCCACTTTATTCAGCTTTTTGCAAAACTAATATACTTTGGCTGCTGCAAAAGGATTACCTCCCAGACAGAGGGGAATCCAGCTGCTGCAAGGATTTCCTCCCGGGCAGGTGGGGAATTACCATACCAAAGATGAAACAATGCCCTACAGTTAATCACCAGGCTAAGGCAGAGGGTGCACAGGAGCAAACAGGATGCTTAGCCGGCTGGCTAGAAACCGTCCTAGAAATTCGCCCCAAGGAGCAAGGGTAGACCGGGCCCTATAGAGCGGGACCTGTGCTGGAGAACAGTTCTGTCGCTGTGGAGACGAAGTTCTGGGGCAGCTGGCAGCACGGAGTGGAACCTGTGGCTGTGGTAATGTACCCAGGCTAACTTGCTAACTTTTAAAATGGCCATATGGCTCACAAAGAAGGTTGTCCTCCTTAGAAGGAAATGTGTTCTAGAACTCGCAGGCATCTGTTAGGCCTGCAGCTCTCAGACTGTTCAGGAGCAAGGCACTCGATGGATGTTTCCTGCACCTTTCCTGTTATTTTAAGGAAGGAGGCTGTTTCCGCTGCATCTGTGCATCCGAGACACGTGGCTGTAGCAGGAGAGCAGGGCAGGAGGTGGGCCTGTGCTCCGTATGGAGAGGCTGCCTGCCGTTGCGTAGAGGAATGGGGTTGGGAGACTGGGGACTAGGGAGATGGGCTAGGGCTTGGACAATGACAGCCAGTAAAGCAGGAGAAAGATCTGAGACTCCAAGAGGAGTTACTATAAATCTCAGAAACTTGGAGACATGGAGGAGCAAAGGGTGGCTTCAAACCTCAAAAAAAGATGGTGTGGCGTTAGGAGTGGGAGTGGGCTTGGGGTTGCATGGAGAGATAGTGGTGCTTATGGAGTGTGCTGAACTAGGGAGCAATCTGGCAGTGACCTCGAGCTCCAAGCTGGGCTCTGGGATTTCAGCCCTTGTTACTCATCTTCCTAGGGGTGGAATTTGACGTCAAGGGATGGCATTTTCACCAGGGTGGAGTATGGACTGGAACTCGGAAGAAAGATATAGTAAGTGGCACGCCTTGAGGCTTTCCTGCTGCGAGGATCATGAAGGAGGGAGGAGGCTTTGGAGAAGACTGGGGTGGGGTGGGAGGAGCCTGCAAAGGGGGAGGAGAAGGTAGCCTGGAGGACCCCAGGGAAACCAGTTCATCTGCCTTCTGAGCGGCACAGATAAAGCCTGTTTTCCTCTGTTCGCTAAATCAGAGGGGCTTCCTACTTATTTATACACACGTACGCACGCGCGCTCCAAGGTTAAAAGTCGGTCCCTTCCCGAACCACATACACCATCCACATGACTCCCTTTAGTTTAATTTTAGCAGAAACCTTGGTCAAGCAGCTGTTAGAAAGGAGGCAGAGTTTAGTCATGAAGAGTCTGGAACCTTCTTTCCTGGGTTCAAGGTTTCCCTCTACCATTTATCAGTGGTATAAGCCCCAGCGGAGTAACTGGATATGTCAGTACCTCCCCCTCCCCATCTGCACAACAGAGACGTCGGTATTCCCCATCCCTAGAATTGTCAGAGGGTTAAGAAGTGTTCCTACTTGATGACACTCGGGTGGTGGCTAGTGTGCTATGAGTGTATGTGTTACTGAGTTGGTGTGGCCCTTCGAGAGCTCCTGACTGTGCGGTTCAGTCATTGGCTCTCTGAGTGGCTCCTCAGTGACACTATTCACGTGCCTTTCCTACACGCTTCAAACCCTTTCAGGCTTAGGCCAGTTTAGCCATCCATGTAGAAGGATTAGCCCCAGGACATGGTCCCCAAGTGGAGGACGTCAGAGGAGTAGGCAAAGCCAGGACTCCTGCCGAGACTGATCTCTTGGATTTCCTTTTCTCCCCCATTGGCTCCCAGGAAACTATTAGATCTGTGCTCCTCATTTGAAGTATAAAAGGAAGATCTTGTCAGGGTGCAGAATTTGCTTTGCGACATGCTTGCTCACGCCTCTAATTCCAGTTTTTGGGGGAGTCAAGGTAGGTGAAGCAGGAAGCCAGGGCAGGCAGAGTGGAAGTTTAAAGCCAGCTGGCTTGGCTACATCTAAGTTTATGGCTATCCTGGGCAACTTAGGGAGATCCTGTTTCAAAGGAAAACTTAAGAGGCCTTGGGGTACAACTCAGTGGAAGAGCACTTGCCTGGCACAAAGGAAATACTGGGGTTTAATCCCCAGAAAAGAAAAACAAACAAACAAAAAACAAAAACAAAGAAACAAAATGGAAAAAAAATGACAAAGGAAAAAGAGAGATTTTGTTGCAACATTAGCTGCCTTTGAGGACCCCAGTAGCTGAATGAACCAGTCATGTAAGTACAAACACTGTGATCTGCTTATATGAAGTACTTGGTATGGTCAAATCTCTATAGACGGAAGGAAGCCTGGAGTCGGGCATGGAGGCACATGCATTCCTCCAGTCCCAGCAGCTCAGGAGGCTGAGGATGCAATATCACAAATTTAAGGTCAGCTTGGGACAAGTGTGGGAAAACCATCTAAAGGACTGGTGATGTAGCTTGGCGGTAGAGGACCTCCCCTACCCCGTACGGGGCTTTGGGTTCTTTTCCCAGTACACACATGAGACAAAACAAACAACAAGGAAGAACGAAGAGCTGGAAAGTATGATTTTTATTGCTTTACTACAACAAACAACTAAACCTTTTATTTTATATGCTTACTATTGTATATATGCACGTGTGCATAAGTGCGTGCACACATGCCAGAGTACATATGTGTGGCCATCAGCGAGCCACTTCTAAGAGTCACCTTTCTCCTTTCACCATATGGATTCTGTGGGTTGAACTTGGGTCACTGGGTCTGGTGGCCTTTATCCCATAAAGTCTGTCTCTTTAGCCCGACTAAATGCAGATTCTGGTTCAGGAGTTGAGCGACTGGCTGAAATTCTATATTTTATTGATTTCTGAGGGGAGACAGAAGCTGTTTGGACCATAGTTTGTGACCAGGACCATACTTGGAGTTGAAAGCCTGGCCAGTTCGAAATAAGCCCAGTATTGCTTTGCATTAAAGCTATAGTAATGCTGAAGTGAAGTGGAACTGAACCCCAGAGCCAGGGAGAGGGCTGGTCTTCTCACGTTGCTTCCATGGCAGGTGCTAAGAAAGTCTCCATTATAGCAACCACAATGAAAGCAAAACCACTTTCGGTGTCTGAATTGTTTTCTAGTCTCCTGGGCTGGCCTACTCACTAGAGAACTTCCCTCTAGCCCGACAGCTCATCTGGTTGGTTATTGCAGGGTTCTCTTTATTTGTGTGTGTGTGTATGCGCACGCGTGCAGACATACACATACGCACACTTCTATGCAGTGCACATGTATGGAGGTCAGAGGCCTGCTTTGTGAAATCAGTGCTTTCCAGCTCTCTTTCTGTGGGCTCTGGGCACTGAACTCAGGTCACAGGGCTTGCTCAGCCAGTGCTTTACCCACGACTCTATCTTGCTGGCCCAAGTTCCTAGGGTTCTTAGGAGAAGAAACAGCAGGCAGCTTCCCTTAGTTCTCACAGGAAGAACTGATAATGCTTCCTACTCTATCTCCTGGTACTAGGTGCTTAATAAATATTTGCTGGGCACATTGGCACACAATTCTAGTTCAAGATACTCTTGAGTCTGAGATTCAGGATTGTTTGAGCCTAGACTTTCAGGGTGAGCCTGGGCAACATAGCAAGAGCCTAGTATCCTAAAAAAAAAAAATGTTGATGGGGCCAGAAAGGAGGCTCAGTGGTCAAGAGTGCATGCTGCTTTTGTAGAGGACCTGAATTTGGTCCTGGCTTCGGTAGCTCTAGCTATAATTCTAGTTCCAAGGGATCCCACTCTCTCCTAGCTTCCGAGGGTACTGGAACATGTTTGTATGTCCCCACAAAGACACGTACACATACATATATAATTAATAATTTTAAGGTCTTAAATGAAATAGATAACAGATAGGTATAACACTAACAAAATTAATGGTCTGAGAGTTTAATATAGTACATGATTGTGGCGGCTTAAATGAGAATGACCTCCATAGGCTCACACGTTGGAACGCTTAGTTCCCAATTAGTAGAACTTTGGGAAGGATTAGGAGGTGTGGTCTTGTCAGGCAGTGTGCGACTGGCCGTGGGCTTTGAGGCTTCAGAAGCCCACACAAGGCCCAGTCACTTTCTCTCTTTCTTCTTGTTACTTGCCGACCAGATGTGAGCTCTCAGCTACTTCTCCAGCATCACGTCTACCTGCCTGCCGTACATACTCCTTACCATGCTGATAATAGATTAGCCTTCAAAAGCTGTAAGCAAGCTCGCAATTATATGCTTTATTTTATAGGCTATCTTGGTTATGGTGTCCCATCACAGCAACAGAGCATAGCGAAGATGATTATATTTTCTGAAAATGGCTATACAATATCATCTACATTAGTTGGTGTAGAGACACGTGCTTCTGATCTGTGAGTTTGAGGCCGGTCTGGTCCACACAGTAAGACTTCTCAGAAAACAAAACAAAAAAATATCACATGTCCTAATTTGTTTTAAAAAATGCGACTTGCTAGTCTTCCTATTGAGGAATGGAGTTTATAAACTTCTTTTTTTTTATTTTTTTATTTTTATTTTTCCATTCAAATATTTACACTTCCTTCCCTCCTCCCTCTCCTACCCTGCTTGAGAAAGGACAGAGAACCCTGCCCTGTGGGAAGTCCAAGGCCCTCCCCCCCCTACATCCAGGCCTAGGGAGCTGTGCAGAGTTTATGAACTTCTTATTGACTACATAGACACCTTTATTGAAAAGGAAAAGTTTGTCCGTGTTTTATCATTGGAGAATTTTTTTTAACTATGGGAGGTATCATCTTTTGTACTGATCAATCACATACACACACACACACACCCTGAACCAACCAACCAACTAAACTCCCCCCCCCCCGCAAAAAAAAAAAAACCCAAAACACCAAAAAACAAAATAGCTACTGCATGGAGCCTGTGCTAGGGCTCATGACACTTTATTCTGTATCTGTAGGTTGGCTGGATTGTCTTGACAAGGCTGGGCTTAGGCAGGGTGACTCGGTCTGCTGCCTGTGTCTGCCATCCTTATCTAAACCAAGTGGCAAGCCTGAATGTGTTCCCATAGCGATGCCAAGAGCTTAAGAGAGCACGTCAAATCCTGCACGGGTGAGTAAGTGCGCATGTGAATCAATGCATTTAGTGAGAAGGCAAAGTACCAGACCCTCTTCTTTGTCTTGTACTGGGGACTGAACTCAGGCTCATACTAGGCAAGTGTTCTACCATTAAGCTATACCCCAGTGTTTCTTACACTGAAAGATTTTAAAATTACATTTTTATGTATTTATTCTGTGTGTTGAGGGGTAAAGGGAATGGGTATATATGATCCACAGCATGTGGAGGTCAAAACAGAACTTATAAGAGTCAGTTTTGTCTTATACCACGTGGGTCCCAGAGATTAAACTCAGGTCATCAGGCTTGATTGCAAGCATCTTTATCCACGGAGCCATCTTGCTGCCCCTCCTTTTATCTGTTTTTTTTTTTTCTTGTTCTTTAATTTGTTTTTTTTAAGACAGAGTTTCTCTGTGTACCCACCCTAATTGTTGTGGAACTAGCTCTGTAAACCAGACTGGTCCCGAACTCACAGAGATCTGCCTGCCTCTGCCTCCCAAGTGCTGGGATTAAAGACGTGCCTCACCACAACCTGGCTAAGAGAGTCTTTCTACATTGTCCAGGCGACTGGCCCAGCCCGTGGATTTGTTTATGATATTTGCGTACAGAATGGTTGTATCTTCCTCATCTTTGCCCTCCACGTCCACCACTTGAACCCCTCCCGCTGGTCCCTCCCTCCACCACACAGCCCACTCTCTGCCTTCATATATCACGTCTTTATTACGTCTAGGTTTTGTGTATGAGAACATGCATACTTTTATTTTCCCTCCCTCTGTGCCTCTCCTCTTTCTCTTTAGACTCCTCCTCCCTACACGGTCTCTTTATTAGTAACTCATTTGTTTTCTGTTATAAAACACATGGCCAAGGCAACTCACAGGGAAAAAGAGTCTCTTGGGACTTATTGTTTCAAAGGGGTGACAGTAGGGCACAAAGAGCAGGAAGCTGAGGCCTCGCATCTTTGAATTGCAAGCAGGAAGCAGAGAGAGTAAATTCTCAAAGCCTGCTTCCGGCGACACACCTCCTCCCACGAGGCCACGCCTCCTCCGACAAGGCCACGCCTCCGAGGGCCTCCCCAAACAGCACGCCAGCTTCAGACCACACATTCAAATGCCTGCGCTTAGGGTGTGCCTGTCACTCAAAGCACCACAGCCACTACCTGCTTTCACATCTTTAAGTACATAAAACATAGATTCCACATCCGAGGGAAAACGCATCTGTCTTTCTAAGTCTGGCTTAGTTTGCTTAACACAGTGACGCCCAGTTCCATTGTTTTTCTTGCAGATGACATCAGTTCGTTCTTTCCAGATGAAGAAAGCTCCGTTGTGCACATAGGGCATCTTCTATATGTATTCTGCTATTTTGAATAGTATAATAAACACAGGTGTGCAGGTATCTTTGGGGTACGCTGCCTTTGGTTTGGGGGGACTATGCTTAGAAGAAGTGTACCTGGGGCACACACTGTTCCCGTTTTTGAGGAGCCCCGTGTTGTTTTTCGTAGTGGCCGCACCAGTTCACACTCCCGTCAGCAGCACACGAAGGCTTCTCCTTCCCTACATGCTTGCCAGCGTTCTTCTCTGTCCCTCTCTCGCTTCCCGCCCCCTCTCTTTAGCTTCCTGGATTTATTTATTTATTTAAGACCAGGTCTCATACTGACTGCTCTCAGGGCAGGTCCTCCTCCTCTGTCTCCCCGGTGTTGGGATTACAGAAGGGCACCATGATGGCTATTATCCCCTGTCCCAGTGAGAGTCATTCTGACTGAGGTAAGACAGAATCTCAGTGTAGTTGGTTTTTAAACATTTTAAAATTTGTATTTATTATTTTTAATGATGTGTATGAGATGTGTGTCAATACGGACATATGGCTGTCATGACACCCTTGTGGAGGTGGAGGACAACCTATCAGGAGTCAGTTTTCACCCCCACCCCCACCGTGTGTTCTGGGCATTGAACTAAGACTGTCAGGCTTATTTGACCCACATGTCTACCCTCTGGGCCATCTTACCAGCCCCATTCGATTTAGTTCTTTTAAGAAAGTTTTTACGTTTATTTGTTTGATTGTTTATTTATTTTATGAGTGTACGTGTTATGCTTGCCCAAGCTGTTATGATACGGCATGAGTTGGAACCTTTGTGGCGTCCCATAACGGGTTGGTTCAAACCACGGCGGGTGACAGAGTAGCCATGTAGACAACGCTTGAGTGCGGAGTTTATTGACAGGAGAGGAGGGGAGGGAGAGGGAAGGAAGAAAGAGACAGAGAAAAGACAGAGAGAGAGACACAGAGAGAGAGAGAGAGAGAGAGAGAGAGAGAGAGAGAGAGAGAGAGAGAGAGAAAGGGAGGGGGAGAGGGAGAGAGAGAGAGAAAGGGGGGAGAGAGGGAGAAAGGGAGAGAAAAAGGGAGGGGGAGAGGGAAAGAGGCAGAGAGAGAGAAAGGGGGAGAGAGAGAGATAGAGAGAAGGAGGGAAGAGGGAGAGAGGTGAAGAGGGAGAGAGGCAGAGAGGCAGAGAGAGAGAGAGAGAGAGAGAGAGAGAGAGAGAGAGAGAGAGGGCCCACCTTTTAAAAGGGGACTTAGCAAATCCACACAGGAGGTGCTCTTAGTGGCTCCAACTGAATGCTATCTTCTCAGGACCCTAAGGGCAGGCCAGTACAGATGCCTGAATACTAACACTTATTTCTCTGTCCCTGCCCCTAGCACTGGGGTTATTGCCAAACTCCTTTCCCTGGAGCAAGGATGACCTTGAACTCTAGGTCCTCCTGCCTTGAATTCTAGGCAGTGTGCTGTTTGTAACTCACCGAGCTCAGAGCAGGCGGGTTTGAGCCTGGTGCAGGGGCTGGGCCTCTTCAGGGGGGTGGGGAATGCAAACCCTGCCCAGCTACTCTCTGATCCTGTCACTTGTAGCCACGTGAAAATGTGGGCCTAGAGTTTAATTGTTTGAGTTTTACTTTTCATTTGGGGGGAGGGATTCACAACAGGGTATCTCTGTGTAACAGCCTTGACTGTCCTGGAACTTGCTTTGTAGGGCAGGTTGACCTTGAACTCAGAGATCCGCCTGCCTTGTGCCTCCTGGGTCCTGGGATTAAATGTGTGTGCCACCACGCCCAGCGAGAGTTATTTGAGAGAATATCCCTATTAGTCACGGGTCTCTAAAGGAATAGGACTGATAGAATGAAAAAAAATCATATATGCATCAGGATTTTTAGACTAGCTCATAGACTGTGGTCCAAGTTGTTCAGTAGCGGTCTCATGTTGCTCAGGCACTGTTCAGTCCAAGAGGCCGGCTGCCTCAGTAGTCCCGCTCTGGTGCTGGAGTCCTGGAGGATCCCTGGACAGCTGCCGCTCTTCAGCGTACATTTGGAACCTAGAAGTTGGTTCTGAGGTCAGTGAAGGACCGCCTCAGTGGCAGGATAGAGGCCAGCGGAGTGAGGGCAAGTCTGCAGAAAGAAAAGCTTCCTTCTTCCCTGTCCTTTTCCGCGGACTGCCACCAGAAGGCGTGGCTCAGATTTAGGGTGGGACTTCCTGCTTCAAATAATCTGATGAAAAGAACTCTCGCTGGAGCACCCGGAGCTTGGACGTTAGCTGGTTCGTTAATGAGCAAGATTACCCTTCACTGTGCCAACATTTTGAGAATCGCAACTAATATTTACATTTCATGTAAAATACTTCGTAAGTCAAATCAAAGCTGGTCTGAGTTATGTCAGTTTTTAACCTTTCAAAACAAAGGGAGTCTAGTCTATGGACTGACTGCTTCACAGGAGACACACAGGCAGGTTGCTAACTCTCCCAGCTTCACTGGTAGCCAGGCTTTCTGGACTTGAAGGCCAGGCTGCTTTCTCCCTTCTCCCCAGAGAGGGAGAGGGAGGGGGAAATGCTTTTCATTCTTTATGGGGGAGCCAGGGAGAGTCAACTCTCAGTCTGTATGCTTGCCGCGGTCCAGGACAGCCTCGGTAATTTGGATGGCTAATAGCTGGGGAGTCAGACATAAATAGCTGCATGCAGTAATTACACTGAGGTATTCAGACGGCCTCAGGGCTCAGGCTGCCAGACTAGAACCACTGTGAGCACTGCCCCAAGGCGAGGATGCTGGCTGCTAGGTCGGTCACTGGGGACATTGCACATAAAGAGAGACTGAGGCCTAACTGAGCAGGCAGGGCCTGAGATTCTGAGCACCTTTGGCTTCCATCCTCATAGAGCAGAAAGCCAGCCGAGGCCTTGGATATCTCGGGCAGGGTGCCATCAGGGTGGTAGCTTGGCGTCATCTGTGCCAGGATGAAGGTGGGTTGGGAGGGAAGACCGGTTAGGCTGTGGAGATTGTCCAGGTAGGAGCTACAGCAGACAGGGTGTGGGCAGGGGGAAAGGCAAGGCCAGTCACAAGCACAGTGACCAGGGACTTGACAGGAAGTGAGGCATCAGGGTGGGGAAAGCAATCATATCACAATCTGGGTGGTGCTGCTCCTCTGAGGAGGGTGCAGGGAGGAGGGTGAGGGTGTCAAGGGGGCAGGCTTATGAAATGTGCGCTCACTGCCACCAAAGCGCTGCAAAGCGATGACGTTCTACCCCAAGAAGCCGTGAAGGCTGGCCCGAGGGTGTGTGGACGGCTCACATCCCATCTCTCACCTGAAGACACATCCCAGCCTGCTGGAGTTTAATTCATATGTCCGTGGGCTGAATTCTACACCTAACAAATTCACAGAGAGCCCGTGACTCTTTGTATGTTAAACTTCGTTACGATCGGAAGAAATAATTTATTACCCTGACTGGGATAATTGAAAGAAAAAAAGAGAATGCCATTAATAATTACTTAGGGGCAGCAGAGATAAGTGACATTGTCCCAGGCAAATGGTGATACGTGGCAGCCATCCTAACCCTGACCTCCCTGAGAGGAGTATGTCCCCTCTCTGAGGACTCTGCCCCTGGAATTCCTTCTGCGTGTCCCATCCATCTTGATCCTGTGGCGATGACATATCAGCAGAAAGACTCAAACGAGGTGCCCTTTGGTCACAAAGAAAGCTAGATCCAGGGTGTAGCAAAGCAAGTATTTTGGGGGCGTATTGGATAAACTCCTAGGAGGGCCTGGCGACACCAGCACTTTGTCCGGCTGATCTGTCACATACAGTAAACTCCCCACGGTCTTTTTCTTTTGACTGAAAGCGTCGGAGATTGTTATGAAATTGTGAAAGCAAAAGAATTACCCACGATAGCTTGGTGTCAGACCTTGCAAGTGAAGGTGACAAGGAAGGCCATTCTCTGAGCACCCCCAAGCACTGAGTGTGGCGTCTAGCTGTTCCATCTCATTTAATTCCCACAACAAACCCGCTGAGGTGATGTTTACCACAGGCAGCAAAGGTGACATTTGGTCCGATAGAACCAAGGTTCTCAGTTGACACCGCTCTGCCGTTCCAGGAACTTTCCTCTCCTCCCCTCTCCTCTTCCCATTTGCTCCCCTCCACTCTCCCCTCCTTTCCTTCCTGTGGTGGCTATTCATGGTTGTCAGCTTGACTACATCTGGAGTGAACCACAGTCCAGAAATGGAGCGCACACCCGTGAGAGATTTTCTGCTTGGTTTAAAGTAGGTGAGTTCACTTCTAGTCCATACATTTGAGGTGGGGAGCCACACAACTTTGATCTTCAGGTGGGAAGACATGCCTTTAACATGGGCCATAGCTCCTGCTGGAAATCGATGTAAGAACATAGAAGAGGGAAGCTCTTGCTCTTCGCCTGCTTGTCCTGACATTGTCAGCACATTCATCCCTTCACTGGCATTGGAGCCCGCTTCCTCAGGATTCCAGCATAGACAGAAGACCAGCTGAGACATCCAGCCTCGAGGGACTGAACAACTGCTAGATTCTTGGACTTTCTTTTCACAACTAGCGGTTGTTGGATTAACGGGATGGCAGCCATTCCAATAAATTCCATATCTGTGTATATGTGTGTATATATGTGTGTTTATGTATACCTATATATACATAATACATATATTATGTATTACATAATATACATATACATATATGTATACCTATATATACATAAACATACATGCATATAAATATACAAACACACACACACATATATATATTCCATAAGTTCTGTGACTCGGAAGAACTCTGACTAATACACCTCTCCTTTTCTGTTGCCCACTAACTTTTTGCTTTGGTGTTAAACTGTGTCTGACCCACCGGGCCTGGTCCTTAAGTAAGTCTTTGTGCTCATCCAGCTCACAGATGTTTTATCTTTACAGTGTTTTCTTCAGTATTGTCTAATAAGTAAGGGTCGGTTGGGTGGGAACGCGCAGAGCCACCTGGGATAAGCTAAACTGATGGATTCTGGGACAGATCCTTGGGTTTGTCTAATTCTGTGCCTGCAGTCTATCAGAATTAGACCTCCTTTAATGATT